ACATGGGAGTCCAGCGACATAGCCATTACACTAACTGCCGGTCCCTTTATTCCTAAATTGTCAAACCTATAGGTCAAGATCTGCATTATGTCCCAGCATTCGGATATATTATCTCAGGAGGTTCTCACAACTTGGAGGGGCAGGCGTCATTTGGCCTTTGACAGATCAGGAAACTGAGGCTGAGTGCTGTTAAAGAAAAGCTACCAGTAACACAGACTGCCCGATCCCCATGTTTTTCTACTCAAGCTCCTAGTTCTCGAGAGGTTCCACTGTGTGCTTTGTGGGGTGGTAGAGGTGGTTCTGAAAAGGCCTCGGTCTGAGTGCACACCTGTGGAGGGGCCGGTGCGTTCAGAGGTGACTTTCCGAATTTTGGCAGAGTGATCTTGTTGTCACATGGAGGGTGTTATTGAGCCCTGAGGTGGCTCCACAGCCAGAATGTGTCTGGCCAACCTGCTGCGTCAAGTCCTCAAAGCTAGGGTGGTCTCCATGCCTGGGTGGCTCAGAGGAACTCCGTGGGCTGGGATTTCATGTCCCGAAGAGCCCTGGGATTAGATCCACTCAGTGGTTTTCATTCACAGATTACTGTGGTATAGCGATCCATTTCCAGGCTCCCTGGCTTCCCCAGAGTGCAATTTGCTTATTTTTGAAACAGATTCTAGCAGGTCAAGAGCCTTCTCTGCCTGGACAGTGGCAGTGTCCTTAGGGCTCCAGGTGGCCTGGTCACTGGCCCGATGGTGCCTGGGGCTTGCTGGCATCTGTCGAGTCTCAGCTGATGTATGGCTACTCAGGGCTATGCTGCCCAGCGACAGCCGTTGTCCAGGCAACAGGAGAGCCCACTGATGGGCATGCGCCTTCCTGCGAGCTCCCTGCCCCCATCTCTCTCCACCACAGCCCTCCTCCATCAGGCTTGCCACTAATTAGCCTCCGTGAGTGGAGAGAGCAGGGTTTTTCATTTTCACATAGCAGATCACTGTCTCTGCAGGAAGAAGGAGAAACAGGTAGCCATTGAGAGTAACTAAATGTCAGTGTATCCAGGATGGGACTGCTCAGTCTTCAATGTTGGCCTTATCTTGTCAAGGTCCTGTAACCCAATCCCAAATTTCCAAGCTCTCTGGCCTGGTATCAGTCTTATCCTTGGTGGTGCAAGAGGCAGGGTGCTCCAAAAGGCTGACAGGTCCCAGTCCCCTGCAGTGCACAGGTAAGGAGCCTCCTCGGCGTGTCCTTACTGAGGCCTCGTTCTTTATGGTGGGCTGGGGAAGGAGGCTGGGGTTTTCATTTGATTGTTTTTTGCATGGGGTCGCTGTTTTAGGATGGGATACACAAAATAGGTCTTTATGTATTGAACTGGATGCCAAAACATTGCCCTCGTGTGATAAAGCATGTTCTCGTGTGATTTCTTTGCTCATTCTTGGTTGGAAATGTCAGCCCTGCCAGGAGACAACCACCTCCCCCAAAAAGTAAATGGAAAGGGGCCGGCAGGTAGTGTAAAAGCTAAGGAGCTGGACTCCCTCCTGGCCCGCCACCGAGCAAGCCCCAGCCCCAGTGGCTTAAACATCATGTTGAGCAAGTATGCTTGCGTGCCCGGAATCCTGAGAGGAGGATAGAGGAATAGGGGTAGCAGCATGGCCGTCCCCTGGGGGTGATTTCCCACCTTTCCACTTTCTGTCTGCCTGTCTCTCTCTGGCAACCACATGTGTCCTGTGGCAAAAAAAATCTAAAAAAAAAAAACAAAGAAAAAAGAAAAAAAGTTAAATGGAAAATATAGATACCTCCTTACCTAGCTCCAGACAGTCAGACTGTGTTCTCGGTAAACTTTTGCTGAATGAATGTTTGTTTGCTCTGGTTCGTTGGGTTCATTTCTAGTTGAATTTTGTAATTTCTTTGCTTCTCTTCATGGCCTTTCCTCAGTGGCAAAGCTCACTCATCATTTTGTGTTTTGTGAGCAGCAGGTTGTAGGGCAGACGTGGAACTCAGGCCGCCTGGCTTCATGTCACCCTCTGCCACTCACTACTCCGTGACAGTGGGCAGGGCATGATATGGCCCTGAGCCCCAGCCTCACACCTGTGAAGTGGTATGAGGCCCCATAGACAGTGCTGTACGCAGAGCTCGTGTCTGTGCATAAGAGCTCATGTCTAAGACCTTCTCTCTTTTCAAAGTCCGTCTTGGACGGTACAATGTGTATTCTTCACAATGCTAGTGGCTACATCTAAACATATGGCTATTTTCTTTATAGGGGCATGGCTAGAACTGAAATTAGGCATCGTTTCACACACCTGCTATCCATGTTCAGCACTGCTTGTGTTGAGGTCACACATCCACTGCCCCCGGCAGGATTCCCTCTGGAGCCTTCTCCAGCTTGTCTTGTTCCTCGGTCCTTAATAGGCACTCAGACTATTGACCTTTTCTTCATTCATAGATTTTTTTAGCACAACTGTAAGGCAGGAAACTGTGCCATGGGAACCCAGAACAAATGATGTGTTGCTTTACAAATTGATTTTTCCCTTCCAGCCGCAAGGCGATCCGATGACGAGGATGGAAGCTTCAATCAGGACAACAGGAAGGTAATGAGGGGCGGCAGGTCTGGTTAGAACAGCCTTGTTCAGAGAGAACTTCAGCTTTGTCAGGGCTCCTCCAGGGGAACTCCGGATCCTCCTCTTACGTTTTATCCCTTCGGGGTCCTGGGAGACCAGAGGTGGGCGGGACATCCAGCAGCTGGCCCCTGCATTTAGGATCTTCTATGCCCGCGGAACTTGGTTGTGGGCCTCTGACAGAGGAAGTGTGTGCAATGAAAGGGAAATAAAGCAAAGTGCATTCTCAGGGCGTTTGAGATCATTCTTCGAGACTGGGTTCCATAGACATTTTCCCTAACGGGCCAGAAAGTCGGTAACTTAGGCTTTACAACCGTGCCACCCCTGATGCAGCTACTCAACTCTGTGAAAACAGACAACGCGTGCACGAGTGGGTGTGTGTTCCAACAGTGCTTTAATTACGAAAATGGGCTCTAGACTGCATTTGGCCGAGGCCAGAGCTCACCCTTCGTGGCTGTCCGCTCAAGCCCCCCTTCACTTGTCGTTAAGAAAGGCAGGTTTGTGCGGGAGGAAGCGAGGCTGGACTTGAGTGGCCTCACCTCATCCTCCCTGTGTGAAGCCTTCGGGCCCCAACCTCCCTGAGCCTCCAACTTCTCATCTGTAACATGGGGCAGGACCATCTTCCCCAGATGCTTCACATGCCAGGAGAACATCTGGATGGGTTGAGGGAAGAACTGCTGGAAGGCTCCTGGCATTAGAGAGCACCTCGGGATTCACGTGCCTTTCTCTCTCCACAGCAGAAGGCCAGCTGGCTGATTCTCAAGGGGGACGCGGACACTAGGACCAACTCTCCAGACCTAGACAGCCAGTCTCTGTCCCACAGTAGTGGGACTGATAGAGACCCTCTCCAAAGGATGCACGCGGACAATTTTGACTCACGTGAGTGGTTCTTCTGAGCACAGAGTTGTAATGTGCGCCAATGGCCTTGCAGCAAAGAAGCCCCACAACTCTGAGTGATCTCCCTAAATTAAGCTTTGTTCATTAAAAGTGATAAGAGCAAGGCAATAAATAGAAGGGCAACCCAGATAGGAGAGCAAAGCCTTGGTGTTGGCTGATTCCCCCGGGACTGATACGAGCAGCTGCCGTGCTCACAGCGGGCCTTCACTGTGTCTCCCTAGAACATCCCAAGGCAGGTAAGAAAGCAGAAAGGCCGACGGGACTCCTGAGTCTCTTTAGAAGAAAGCCTTCCCAGACTGCCAGGCTGGGAGCTCAGGGCCCGTTTTCCTCCAGAGCAGACATGGGCATGGTCCGGGTGGGCGAGTCCAGACCGGAGTCGATGATGGAGCACCGTCCCCCTCTCCTACCCATCATCCTGAACGAGGTACTGGAGAGCGAGAGGCATTATAGCCTCCAACTTTACGTGGGACAAAGATGACGTCTGCCTGCTTCCAGGGGTGTTGTGAAGACTGAATTCGGGTGATTTTCAAATGTAGAGAAACTCCAGATAATGTTGTTTGATTCGAGATGCTGTAAACCATAGGTGAAAATCAGTAGCGAGCTGCGTTCAGACTCACTCAGTATCTTCCACAAGTAGACTCCAGGGCTAAGTGGGGATGGTAGTAGTGTTCTGGGGCAAGGCTTGGAAGCTGAGGCCAAGAAGGAATGGATCAGGTATGAGACAGCAGAGGAAAGCGGCTGGCTTTGCAATAAGACAGGCCCAAGTTCAAGTCTGGGCCCCCCACTGACCAGTTGTGTGACAATGGGCCAGTTCTACCCCTGTCTGTGTTTCGCTTCTGCCAGGGTGCCTTCCTGGGTTGTGACAAAGCTCCTCTGGGTATGCATGTAGCATTTTGCCTGGCCTGTAGTAGATGCTCAGTAAACAGAAACTGTTTGTCATCCTCATTCTCATCCTCATGATTATGAACTGTAAACTGTCTTGCCAATGAAAGTTGACGGTATTCCGATGTGAGAGGGAAGAGCGAAGACCTAGAAGCTTGGAACTGATCATGTATTCAAGAAGAACGTTAAACAAAGAACGGTGTATTGTTTCATGTACGACCTTTGTAAGCAGAAGTCTGTACACCCCTTGTGCCTTGGCACCTGCATGCAGGCAGCTCTCCAGGTACCGGCATCTTGAAGCTGGGGCATGAGGCTGATGTCAGCTTGGGCAATCCACACTGAGAAAGACCCCCCAGAGGAGAGGGACTCATCCAGGGTGGTGGTGTTCTCCTGCTGGCGAGAGGTGGAGTGGGGGGAGAGCATGGGTCTGGGAGGTTTCCAAAAGACCACCATCCACCTGCAGGCAGGGTGGCGGGCTGCAAGGATTGGTCCTTCCAAGCCCACCTATGCCTCTCGTAGGCAGCAGCTCGCCAGTCCTCTGCCCCCAGACACTCCCTGCCCCCAGTGGTGCAGTTCGTGATCTGGGCCGGGGGTCACTGGCCCGGATGGTGGGCCTCTCTCCTCTTGGCACTTTCCCGTTTCCGATGGCAACTGTTTCAAAGGCGGTGCACTGTCACACCAGGTCCCCAGCTGCCCTCTCTATCTTCTTTGGTGTCCGGGCCTCCCCAGGTGAATTAGACCTTAGTCGTGGAAACCGAGACACGCGTGTGTGGGCATCTGAAGGTGGAATTTGCCAGCCTCCGGTCCCTTGCTTGCTGGGTGGTAGCAGGCTTCATCTGAGCGTCTGGTGCCATGCTGGTGGCATTCCCTGGACTCTCAGGGAGGCCAGCTGCTGCCCACAGGATTCCCACTGGTGTTCATGGCCTGCCTGTGGCTTAGAGCTGAAGGGAGAAGGGATGCTATGGGGGGAGAAGCCCTGGCTGGAGACTGGCTGCCCCGTGGGGACTTTCTTTTGCGGCTGATGTGCCCTGTGACCTCTGCGTGTGGCCTTCATTTCTGTGCACCACTTCCTCATCACAGATGCTACAGGAGGAGGGCCCTAAGGCTGTCCCAGGGGCACGCAAGCCTGCCAGGTGTTTCAATCAGCCAGTCCCGCAGCCTCCAGCTTGCCTGTCAGCCCCGTCCCGGGCCGTTGCAATCCGACACAAGCTGCGTGTGCAGACACAGATGGGAACGCAGCCGCTCCCATCCAGGGCACGGTGGGCAGGATGCGATCGCCTGCGCTGGCATTTGTGATTTACCTGGGGAGAGTCCCCTCAGTGCAATGCGTGGAGGGCCTTCCCTTTCCCCACCTCGCTGACGCTCACCGTGACGATGGTGCTGTCCTTCCTTCCCTTATGCTGGTGTCCTGATGTCAGTCCCTCTGAGCAGGACACCCTTTTGTCTAACCGTTGCGGCTGTGCCCTTATTTCTGACCACGCTGCCTTGTTCCCGCTGTGCGTGGAGACAGCAGCGAGGTCCCAGGCTGCTGGTCGTGCCTGGGTCAGGTGTGCCTTGCTGTCTGCCGGCCTCCTAGAACTCCAGGTGGGAAGGGGAGACACAGAGCAGTTCTCTGCCTGCTTTTCCAGGGGGCTCTTTTTAATTTCACCAAGCACCCCCCCAAACATGAGTCTGTTGGCACCAGTCCACGTGCGCACCATTTCCACCTAAGAGCACTTGCGCTCAGCGAGGCACGCCCACCCGCGTCACCGGGACGTCCGTCTGCAGCGCACCAAGGAAGGCAGGGCTGCGACACTCAACACAGTGGGCGCTCAATAAACGTTTGTTGAATTGAGATGCGCTAAATTCAACGGGTATTTATTGAGCACCCACTCTGTGTCAGACGCTGAGCAGGGAGACAGCGAAGACAAGCACAATCCCTGACCTGACCCGGAGGAGGGTGCAGGGAGCTGGGAGAGGCAGAGACGCCGCCGGGAGCAAGCGCACGTGCATCCTGCCACCACCTGCCCACCTGAGCGCCTCTGTGGGCTCGCTGGGGCCCAGTCACAGCCTCATCCCACCCATGACGCCATTGGCACATCTCGCCGGGGAATGAATCCATTCAGCCATTCATCCATTTCTCCACCAGATATTTACTGAGCACCTACTATGTGCCAGACATGGTGCTAGGCAGCAGAGGGGCAGCAGTGAATATAGCCCCATCCTGTCCCACAGCAGGAAGCCATGACTAAAGGCGGTGACAAATCAGCATCACAGCTCGATCCCATTGGGCAGTGGTTCTCGGCCTGGTACTGCCACCCCTTTCAAAGAGGATCTCCCGTATTTCATTATAGCCTACTTCTATTCTCCTTTCAGGTTAAGCCTAGGACAGTCTCTGGACTGTGTGCATAGTAGTTTATATTACTTATGAACTTCTGCCCAGGAAAGAGGAGTGTTGACAAGAACAGGGCCTCGAACCTAATTGGATAAGGCTCAGTGCCCGAGAGGAGGACATGAGGGGTGCGACCAGCTTGTTACTGGGTACCACATCGCTGCCCCTTCAGCCCCTGTCCTCTGATTTTGCGGTTCTCTCTCTCTTCTTTTTCTGTGTCTCCTGCAAGCACACATGCCCTGTAGAAAAAATTTACAAAATAAACTAAGTTCCAGCCCAGCAATGGTAGCAAGCACTGGTTGAAGTGGTTGCTTGGCAGGCTGCTGCCACATGGACCGAGCTAGAGTCCCAGATTCGATTCCCAGCCCGTCCTAAAAGCCAAGTGCAGTGGCACATGCCTGTAGTCCCAGCTACTTCAGATGCTGAGGCAGGGGAATCGTGACATAGTGAGACTCTGTATAAAAAAAAAAAAAGTGAGTTGCACGTATTGTTGCAGTGATAAGGCTGCCAGTGCTGGGAAGAGGGTGTGGTTTTCAGTAACAGGGAAGAAGACAGTACCTGGCGAGACAGGAAGGGGTGCAGCCTTGAGTGGTGCGGGCATACAGGGAAGGGTACTCCACCACAGCAGGTGGGCTGGAGTAACAGCAGGGGCCCGTGTAGTGGAGCAGAGGCTGGGATGCACTGGGCTAGGTGGCACTTGTTGGCCCCTCAGGGGACTCTGACCTACTCTGGTGTGGGCTTTAGCAGCACGAATTGATGTGCACAAGTTTGGAAGCAAGAAGTGGTGTGGCCACCAGGAATCAGAGATGATGGGGTGGCTGGCAGGAGGGTCTGGCTAGAAGCAAGGTGGTCAGGCAAGGTCTACTCAGGACAGGTCTCAGTGCAGTGCGGGGAGTGCATAGTCACTGCAGGCGGGGCAGGGAGATGAGGTGTTTGGTTTCATGTATTTCAACATCCAGGCAGGCAGCTTTGCAGATTGGAGGAGTAAGACCAGAGACCACTCTGCTGGGCAAGGGGGATTGCAGCTGCCCAGATACGCAACGTGGAGCCCTGGAATGGTCTGAACTGAGGATCCGTGTGCAAGCGTGTGAGCGGTTCTGGAGGAGATGAGT